TTTATAGAGCCCCATGTCTTCATAATCACTGACCCAGGTCAGCTCAGGTCCTTCAGCCTCTGCTCTTACTCAATCACTCTCATTCCCATCCAGTGGTCTACAGGCCCCCCTCCTCCACATTATATTAGATTCTAGAACTCACGCACAACTTATCTCCATGGAACCATGTGATTGATGTCCTACCAAAGATGTAGGAATATATTTATGAGAGGATTCACACACACGTTTCATCGTGTCAGGCGAAAACTATATCTATCAAACGTTTCACCATTGCAACATTTAATAGGCTACAGTCACATTCACAGTGGTTGTCTGCAGCTTGCTAGAGTGGAACTGACAAAAGCAATATGTTAGGGGTAGAGGGGTAGAAGGTGTCTACAGTACGTTTGGGGGGAGTATTTGGTTGGGGGAGTATTTGGTTGGGGGGAGTATTTGGTTGGGGGGAGTATTTGGTTGAGGGGAGTATTTGGTTGAGGGGAGTATTTGGTTGGGGGGAGTATTTGGTTGGGGGAGTATTTGGTTGGGGGGAGTATTTGGTTGAGGGGAGTATTTGGTTGGGGGGAGTATTTGGTTCAGGGGAGTATTTGGTTAGGGGAGTATTTGGTTGGAGGGAGTATTTGGTTGGGGGAGAATTTGGTTGGGGGAGTGTTTGGTTGGGGGGAGTATTTGGTTGGATATTTGATTTAAAATATTTGATTTGAGTGAATGTTGAGTGAATGGTAATTCTGGTACTTTGATCAAGAGGACACAAATACCCTGTATGTTAGTTGTTTCAAGACGTGATTTCAAGATTTTATGTTTGATTCAAAACAAACATGTTTTCTTATTGTCTTGTGTATCATTAAAATGACATTTATTCAAGGTATTGGAAAGAGAAGTCTGAGAGGGCCATGGTGTATGTTTGAGATCCCATCTGAGTGTTCAGAATGTCTAGACTTGGAACATATGAGCTATTGATCTCCCAGCAGTTGGCTTGTTCAATTAAGACTGATAAAGGTTTTGTGAGACTTCCAAGGGAGGTGTTCTGAGTTCTAACCTTTCGATAATCTAATAGCTATTTAATGGCATAATCTGAGCTGCTAATAGAATAACATGGCTCTCAATTTGTGTTGATTTAATTTGGACTGGATTTGCACTTGCCATTTAAGCAATGCTTGCAATTATAAACACCTGCTTCAAACATCCAAATCCACTATTTCACTATTTCAAGGTAGAAAAATACAGATAATTTTGTTGAGTAACAGATCAGTTTGTTATATTAATTAGAGAATGTCATCAATAATATTACGCAAAGTCAATGTAATGAAATATCCGAACATTATGCAGTGTCCTCAAAATGCTCGGATATTTCATTACATTGACTTCGCGTAATATTATTGATGACATTCTCTAATTAATATAACAAACTGATCTGTACTCAAACTGTATAAGTTTACATAACTGATTGACGTTTATTGATATATGCTGAGACAACCCAGCAGTACCATCAACACAGAAGGTATATATTTACCCAGCCTCTTGGTAGCCCAGCTTGGTTTCTGAGAATCCTAGTCTGTCATTAGGTGTTGATAGCTGTGTTGAGCCCCTGTGATAGCATTGTAACTGACACCTGCTGTGGTGTCCGCCCCTGGACGTTGCCATGACACTAATGACTATACTCCAGGGACCTTTGCACAGCAGCACCACAGATTGCAGGGCAGCGGTGATCAATGAAACCAATAATAAAGGCCTAATAGGAGAGGAAATGAGGGCCTAGCACATCCTCAGTCAGCTGAGGAGAGGACAGCAACACATCACACAGCAACACATCAACGTGGTCTTGTGTGAGAACCAGAGCAATGCAGCAGCAAAGGAAAAGTAAGCTGTGTGTTTGTGTGTGTGTGTGTGTGTGTGTGTGTGTGTGTGTGTGTGTGTGTGTGTGTGTGTGTGTGTGTGTGCGTGCATGCGTGTGTGTGTGAGTGCGTGCATGTGTGTGTTGAATGCTACTCCCTCAAATCTTGAAAATCTTATGAGAAAATGTCTCCTCTGTCCCTGTTCATCTCTAGCGGATACAGGACGATCAAATCTCCATATCTAAGAACTAAGAACACATGCAGCTCCTTGATTCTCTCAGAGATCGCTGCTCATTACATAAACAGACGTATGAAAGAAAGAGAATGAAGTGAGAGGGAAAACATGAAGGAAAGAGGTAGAGAGAGAGAAATGGAGAGAGAGAAAGAGATAGAGAGAGAGAAATGGAGAGAGAGAGAGAATAAGAGAGAGAGAAGGATGGAGGAGAGAATTCGGAAGAGCAGATCCGCGAGAGGAATTGGAGAGAGACGGAAGGAAAGAATAGAGAGAGGAAATGGAGAGAGAGAAGAGAGCGAGGAGAGAATCTGAGGACGAGAGAGAGAGGAGAGAGGAGAAGAAGGAGAGAGAGAAGAGAGAAGAGAGAGAAGCGGGAGAGAGAGAGGAGCGAGAATCGCCAAAAGAAGAGACCTAAGAGAGGAAAACGAGATAGAAAGAAGGAGCGAGGGAACCCCGAGAGAGAGAAATCTGTTGACTCAGTCAGTGTGATCTCTCCCAGAGCGTGCAGCGGCCTGATGGTCTTGTTCCTGTTCCTGGAGCCCTGTGGGAGCAGGGGGTTTATGTCCCCCACACAAGGCCTGACTGAAATGTACAATGAGATTAGAAGTGTTGTCAGAGAAAAATCACTGTCTATTCTAGAGCTCCCACTGCCTGGGTCTCTGTGTTTTTCATTCAGTCTGTCTAGAATCAACTACAGTTATACTGGGATATAGTGGCTCTCAGGGGAGTATGGACCTAAAGCTCTTTGATAGAGCCAATGTTAATACACTAATGAGTATTCAAGATCTGTGAAGATTAATACAGTATGGGAGAATACACAAAGGACGGCATTTTCTGGTAAATAAATGCAAGAAGATATGCTGTAAGAGCAACCAACTTGACTCCATTAACTTCCCATTGTTACCAAGGTTAAAGGGGTTGACGAGAGAATTGAATGTCTATGAATAATTTTTACAGTACGGTAGAAACAGTGGTTAAGTGGAGGGTAAACACACGTAAACGTTGTTTACCTAACTTTTTCATTTTGCCCAACAGTTTACCCACCTTTTGCACAAAAACGCATTGAAAGTATAGGGAGAGTAACTTTATTCACCACAGACGGCGATCAGAGTTTACCCACCTAATATTTACCACTACATCACTGGGTAGAAAGAATGAGAGTGCAATTTTATGCTAAACGGTATAAACGATATAACGGTAACTGACTGTATTCAAGTTTAGATGGATTTACGAGAGAAAAACATTGGAGAAAATCCAGGGATGTTGATTACATAAACACACGAGACATTAATGCAGATCAGCATTTTGGTAGAGGGTCTTTAATCTGCTCTCATTGACGCCTGTCATGCACTCTTAGGTTGCGTCCCAAATTGCTCACTATTCCTTATATAGTGCACTACTAAAGTTTGGAATGCAAGCTTAGAATGTTTTGTTTGTGCCTCCCTGGCGCTCTACTCTGTACTGCAAATCAGCTGCAAGATTGGGATGCTGCTGTATGACCCAGTCATTTCAGACGACTTCCTTTGGGCTGCAGAAGTAATCTTCACACAGAGCACTGGAAAGGAATTCTTTGAAGTGCAAACGGCTTGGGCTTTTGTGTCAACTTCAAACGCAGCATCTAAGCTTTTTTTATATGCCTTTCTGTAGAGCAATCGGTATATGGGCGGACGGCTTCAAACATTTTGGGGATACTGCACAAAAGTTTTAATGACAGTGGCCCACTTCACAGCGGAATTGCTTGAGTATGATTAGGGTTGCAAAATTCCTGAAACTTTCAATACATTTTCTGGTTTTCCAGAAATTCTGGAAAGGAGGGTTCCCGGAACCAGGAGGGAATACGTAGGAAATCGTAAACCTCCAACCAGGATATCTGGAAAACCTGGGAATTTATTGAAAGTTCCAGGAATTTTGCTAACCTAAAATTAAGTGTCATATACATCGGTACCATGCAGAGATGCAATAATAGTCAGTAAAAACACTTTTAGATTCACTGTTTAATAAAGGCCTTTGTTGCCTGAACACGTTCTGCTTAGCATGTAAGCAGATTGAGCCACGTCATCATAATCTACTGAATGGTAAAAGTCACTCTTCAATGAGACAAGGGTACAGAAGCACAAAGACACACTGTAAGACTGTGACTCTGCAGAAGTCCAAAGCTTATCTATTCCTCAAGCCACTCCAGGACTTTAGACTTCATACTGGTCAGTCTTGGTAAGATGTAGAGTGAGTAAGCAGGGGTTTCAGGGCAGGTGATAAGAGTGAGTGTGTGCAGTTTGCTGTCCAGTCACTGCTGTACACTAACTAAATATTGATTTATGAAGACCTGCCATACTGTAGATGCCATTAATAATACATTTAAAAACAGTTATTTGCTGTTTATGAAATGCTTAAGTGTACAATGTCCACTTCAAAAAGTGGCCAGACTAAATAACCAAGCTTCTAAAAGGTTGAGCCTACTTCTAACACATTTAGTCTCTGATGAAAATACTTAATTTGACACAGTTCATATTTGGCACTGTAGGTCAGCTCATTCCCATGGAGAAACATGTTAAAAGGCTGGTTTATTTGATATTTTAGCTACTGTGACAGAGGAGGGTCAGACTCAAGACACACATCAGAGGCACAGGTCAAGGAAAGGACAGGACCCAGGGTACTCAGTCATATAGAACAGGACAGAATCCAGGTTACTCACGAATTCATCTTGGCACCCAGAACCAAATCGGCTACTTGTTAAGGCTGTCACAAGAGATTACTCACTCATAGAACAGGGACAGAACCCACTGTACTCACTCATAGAACAGGAACAGGACAGAACCCACTGTACTCACTCATTGAACAGGGACAGAACTCACTGTACTCACTCATAGAACAGGGACAGAACAGAACCCACCGTACCCACTCATAGAACACGGACAGGACATAACCCACTGTACTCACTCATAGAACTCTGCAGCCGGCGTCATCTTGTACTTGGCATAAGACGTCCCGTTGCCCAGGAAGGATCCGTTTAGTAGCTTGGGGTCTGTGCAGTTCGGACTGTTCCAGGCATTGCCACAATGGAGCCAGGGCAGCTCACTGGTCATAGAGGAGAACAGGTAGTACAGAGACCAGGCTATGATGACGTTGTAGTAGAAACCCACATACAACGCTATGATGATCACAGTGTAGCCCACGCCTGAGGGAGGAAGGGAGGGCAGAATATGAGTGAGAGAAACAGAGAGAGAGAGACAGAGAGAGCGAGAGAGAGAGAGCGAGAGAGAGAGAGAGAGAGAGAGAGAGAGAGAGAGAGAGAGAGAGAGAGAGAGAGAGAGAGAGAGAGACAGAGAGAGAGAGAGAGAGAGAGAGAGAGAGAGAGATGGTTACATAGGTTAGGCTACAGAGGGTGAAATGCTGCTACTCCTGTATAATGTAAATCATAAATGTGTATGTAGCATGTATCCACAAGACTTTGGACAGCAGAGACCGCTGAAAACCAAGCACGGCAGTGGAATACCAGCTAGTATTATGTAAAAAATAAAAATAAAAAAAATTGAGGAAATGTGAGGATTCAACCACTTATTTCACCTGATTCAATGTATTATTTTAGCAAAATGTGATGTGCTATAACTTTACCATCAGAACAGGCAGCAGATGGACTTAACAATGTCAGTTTAACATTGTTATACACTCTAATGTACTGACTGAGGTTTTCACACATACAGTACATCTTGCACGTCTGTTCTTGTCATGTGTAATAAGATCATATCTGTCTGGTTCTCCAGTATTCATACAAATCATTTATCATTTTTCATAACTTGCAAGAACAACAATATACAATAGACTTTATGTGTAACATACTGTAAATGTAAAACACTGCCTGTAAACTTCTGGCTAAGCTTTCAGGTTCAACAGTTCAGATGCCATGGTGTGTGTGGTAACAGTATGCCATGCTGATAAGGCTCAGTAGTAAAACTAATAAACAAACTGCCTTTATGTGTCCATCTACATTACAATGCATATCTATGTTTATACAGAATATCTACTGTATGTTTATTGTTGTACAGTATGTGTCTAGGGCATTTACTGGATACTTCTAAACAACCACATCTTTACTTCCTCTCTCCTCTGATCAAAGCTTTTGAAAAAGTGGACAGGGAGAGCTGAAGACAGGAAAATGAAGAAGAGAGGTATATACGAGAAAGGAGAGATGGAAGAAGACGATTATAGGGGAAAACCACTGGGCACAAACTGGTTGAATCAACATTGTTTCAATGTAATTTGTCAATGTATTGTGACGTGAACTCTATGTGTAAAATTCATTGGATTTGCAAAAACTGTTAGTTTGAAATTTCAACCACAGGATTATGTCATCATGGTTACCAATTTTCAGCATAGATAAAGCTTGTATAAAATATGTTGAATTTGTATGTTGAGTTACATCCACTAGCATTAAAAAAACAACAGGCTGGGCAGCACCTCCTACTGGAGAATGTATATATCTACAGCTATCCCTTTGGGCTCCCATCCAGGGTTTTAACCAAGCCCAGCCGTGCTTAGCTTTGAAATGTATCACTGACTATCACCATTGTGCTATCGTGAGAATGATTGTTGCGAGACCTCTACTTAAAAACTAAATAGATTCACTGTTGCTATTAAAGTCATTCCAAAGGCTGTGTTTAACAGAGATTTAACATATAGCATCAACGATGCTATTTAGGCCTTTATAGCCTTTGCATCAACACATATTGTTTCAATTCAACTTCTAAATATACAATAAATAGGCCTAGGGTTTGAAGCTTTGCTTGATTTCAAATGTAATCTACAAGTTAATAATGTATATGTTGGATTCAACGGCTCCATCTCAACCAAAAATCTAAGTTATAGAATAGGACTAAATCAAATACAACTTTATTTATAGTGCATTTAAAGTTTGATTTGATTTGATTTAGTCCTATTCTTTAACTTAGATTTTTGGTTGAGATGGAGCCGTTGAATCCAACATATACATTATTAACTTGTAGATTACATTTGAAATCAAGCAAAATTGGAATTAAAGCCAGACTCAGTGGCACAGATGGAACTATACAAGCAGAAGATACATATCCTTCAAATGGTGATACTGTAACTATAAATGTCTTCTTATGTAATCATATCTTCACAATTTCTATAATAATCTGCCCGGAATCTCGAACGGCATTGATCAATTGTGGACAATGGCCAGGAGACTTGAGAAGGTGAGAGAGGAGGCAGAGGTTAGGAAAGAGATGGAACAGAGAGATGGGAGAGAGAGAGAAAGCTCACCTTTAAAGACAGGGCAGATCTTCCAGACTGTAGCAGCGCCTTCCCTGTTGTACTGTCCCAGGGCTAGTTCCATATAGAACAGAGGCATCCCAGCAATCACCAGGAACAGAATGTAGGGGATCAGAAAGGCACCTGAAATCACGACAAAAACCCACAAAACAATGTTTTTGAACGTGATCCTTTTGGCATTTGTGTTGCAGCCCAAGACAACATATTTAGCATTTTGTGGGTGTTTTTCACCCTAGCAATTTGTGTTGATGATGATTTCTAAAGAAAAATAACACGAAACAGACATCAACATGGACTCTCCAGGCACAGACAGTGAATTGCTTTTTATGTTCCAGTGAATTCTAGGAAGAATTAAATTCCCTTTGGTATTTGGTATTTTGGTATTTTATTAGGATCCCCATGAGATGTAGTAAAAGCAGCAGCTACTCTTCCTGGGGTCTACACATAACATGAAACATGACATAATACAGAACATTAATAGACATAACAGAACTACATGAAAAAATGTAAAGGCACACGTAGCCTACATATCAATACCTACACACAAACTATCTAGGTCAAATAGGGGAGAGGCGTTGTGCCGTGAGGTGTTGCTTTATCTGTTTTTTGAAACCAGGTTTGCTGTTTATTTGAGCAATATGAGATGGAACAGAGTTCCTTTATCTAGTATAATTGAAAATATCTTTGTATGCAACATTATAACAAAGAGCTGAGCGTTGGGCTGCATTATAGCCTTTCAGAAAGCGCTAAATGAACATGACCCACAGCTGAAGAGTTGGCACCACAGGACACAACACTGCAACACACAGTTCACCAGATAAAGATACACATGTCTATTTTTACCCCGGGAAGTGGAATGCTGCCAAAGGGGACAGGAAATCTAGTAAACACTAAAACCGAGCACACAGCCATGTAATCTCCATAGACAAACATTGGCAGTAGAATGGCCTTACTGAAGAGCTCAGTGATTTTCCGCGTGGCACCGTCATAGGATGCCACCTTTCCAACAAGTCAGTTCATCAAATTTCTGCCCTGCTAGAGCTGCCACGGTCAACTGTAAGTACTGTTATTGTGACTCTGCCGCGAAGTGGTAGGCCACATAAGGTCACAGAATGGGACCGCCGTGTGCTGAAGTGTGTAGCACGTAAAAATCGTCTTCCCAGAAGAGTGGAGGCTGTTATAGCAGCAAAGGGGGGACCAACTCCATATTAATGCCCATGATTTTGGAATGAGATGTTCGACGAGCAGATGTCCACATACATTTGGTCATGTAGTGTATGTATTAATTTGCGGATGTCCATAACCATTTTGTATGATATGTTACGAATTACAATTCTTATTATATGTTACGAATTTGGAAAACGTACAATATGTTAAGAATTTGCCAAATGTACAATATGTTACAAATTTGCAAAACGTATGACATGTTACAAAGTCTAGCTAGGTGGCTAACGTTAGCTAGCTGGCTAACGTTATCTAGGTTAGGGTTAAAGTTAGGATTAAGTTTAGGAGTTAGGTTAAAGGTTTAGGGGAAGGGTTAGCTGAAAGGGTTAAGGTTAAGGTTAGATAAAAGGGTTAATGTTAGGGGAAGGTTAGCTAACATGCTAAGTTGTTGCAAACTAGCTAAAAAGTTGCTAATTTGCTAAAATGCTCAAGTTGGCTGTGATGAGATTCAAACTCGCAACCTTTGGGTTGCTAGAAGTTGGTGTTATATGCCCACCGACCCTGACCATCTGTTTTGTGTGACCACACCAAAAGTAACATTTCATACTAATTTGAGTGTACCGGATTTATGTTTACTATGTTAAGTCTAGCTTATGAGACCAGGATGTTGCTCTTAATGGTCTAGACCACTTGTCAAGGCCTGCGGGCTGGATCCGGGCATTGAGCCCATTCAATCCACCATTCAGTCCGGCCCTGGTTTGATTTTTTTTGGTGTAAATATTTGTTATTCTTTTATTTCTTTATTTAAATTTAGGGGGGAAAGGATCTCAATCAACATTGAAATTACTAAAATCAAATCGAAACTGTGTAGAAATGATACTGGACCTACATGTATTGTCTATTCACTCCCTCCAACTTGCTAACAGTCATCACAGTGAGGATAGAGGACAATTGTCTGGCAAATTTTGACTGGCGAAATATAATACATTTTAAGCATGGCCCTCTGGACCTCGCTGAAGACCGAATGCCGCCCGCGAGGAAAATGTTTTTTTGACACCCCTGATCTAGACACTTTTAAATTAAGTCAATCATTATTAACATATTTGCAAAATTATCATTATTAACATATTTGCATATCTATCTGCTCAACTGTGAGTATTTAAATATTTCCTGACATGTGCCACCAGCAATAAGGCGCCTATGAGCCAGCAGCTGGTGTGAATGGGTTATGAGCCAACCCTTTACAGTAAGATACAGTAGCACCCAGATACAGTGAATGTATTTGCAGTTGACTCAACCACACTGACCTGAATGAATTTATGCAATGAGGTATATCCGTTTTCCTCTTACAAGCAAAGCCTCTTGGCTCAAGAAAGGCTGCGCACTGTTATTTGGGGATTTCAAAATATGTTGTCACAACACTGACTAGTGACTGGTACGTTTGGTAGCATACAAACTAACAGATTGGCACATTTTATCATAAGCTCACTAAGAAAGTTATTTCACAACAGTAAAACAAAGTTGATATTAGTTCCAAAGCAGTCTCGCCTTGCCATACCAAGCCTGGTTCTCGACGAGGATAGTTCCAAAGAAACCTAGGAAAGTCTTAACAGAAGTCTTTACAGAAGTTATAACAGTTCACTCACCTCCTCCATTCTTGTAGCAGAGGTAAGGGAATCTCCAGACATTGGCCAAGTCCACTGCGAAGCCTATGACGGATAGGAGAAAGTCTATTTTCTTTCCCCATGTTTCCCTCTCCTCCAGCTCCTCAGCGGTGCAGGGGGTGCCGTGCGTGCTGGGGGTGGGCATGATGGTCGAACTGGTATACTGGACCCCATTCTGGTCCTTCAACAGTATCAGTTCCACCTCCTTCTTCTCCACATTGCAGGGTTTCAGCGGGGCGACTGATGACAGCTTGTGGTCTGACAGGACCTGGATGTTCATCTTTTCTCCGGTGTCGGTGTGAAGCTCGCCGACGGCCTTGTGCTCTCACGGCACCGAGGAAGTATCGGTGGCGGAGATGATGCTCGCGCTGCGGTGAACCGTGATGACGATGGGAGTCCCGCTAGCGTGGAAAGGCAAACTCCGCATAAGTGACTCTTCTCTCCACGAACTACAGTGGACTCCACCGCATTCATCGGCTAGAGAGGTAACAAAAAATATATATACATTCAGAAGTTTGGAGAGGTGGAATAGTTATGAAAAGTTATGTTTTATAGCTACACTAGCTCACAGAGGGGAATAGCCAAAAGTATTTCCTTGTTTCAGAAACCTTAAATCATATAAACTACTAGTCATGCTATTGGTAACTTACAAAATATTAAAATAAACTTAATTAACAGGTGAACGTCGTAGAATAGGTTTAGGCTATTCTATTGGTTCTGCGTATTTCTCATAATCCCCGTGCGCATTTGTTGAACGCAGCTAAGCAACATAGGGTATTCAATCAAATTGATACAAACTGGCAGCAATACACCATAAAATATAAGTAAAAAGTTCAATAGTATAGTCAGTGATGTATAGTATCGTTATTAAAGCACATTAAAGCCCGTATAAGTAGAAGAGGAGCGACGGTTGGTCCATACTTGTGAAGCTACGGACACCTCTCCATGACCCGTTGCTGCTGTTGTCCTGCTGCGTCTGAGGAGAGACTGCCCATTCTGATGGAACTTTAAGACTCGCCTTCTCAGGAGAGAGAGACGATATACATTCAAAGCTTTTAAATCGGGTTCCTCTCTCTCTCTCTCTCTCTCTCTCTCTCTCCACGTGATATTTTATAATTTAACATTTTCTTTCTGCTCCTCCCTCCCTCACTTCATTTTGGAGCTTTATTGGCATACGGTCGCCGCTGGGGTGAAGTGCGCCCGCGGTCTCACCTCGCCAAAAGAAGCAGCACCAGTCCTAACGGAATATACACTACATTACCAAAAGTATGTGGACCCCTGCTCGTCAAACATCTCATTCCAAAATCATGGGCATTAATATGGAGTTGGTCCCCCCTTTGCTGCTATAACAGCCTCCACTCCTCTGGGAAGGCTTTCAACTAAATGTTGGAACATTGCTACAGGGACTTGCTTCCATTCAGCCACATGAGCATTAGTGAGGTCAGGCACTGATGTTGGGCGATTGGCACTGCGAGCAAGGCACTGATGTTGGCCTGGCTTTAGTGTCGGCGTTCCAATTCTGTGCAGGCCAATCAAGTTCTTCGACACCAATCTCAACAAACCATTTCTGTATGGACCTCACTTTGTGCACGGGGGCATTGTCATGCTGAAACAGGAAATGGCTTTCCCCAAACTGTTGCCACAAAGTTGAAAAACAGCCCCAGACCATTATTCCTCCTCCACCAAACTTTACAGGTGGCACTATGCACTGGGGCAGGTAGCGTTCTCCTGGCATCTGCCAAACCCAGATTTGTCCATCGGACTGCCAGATTCATCACTCCAGAGAATGCATTTCCACTGCTCCAGAGTCAAATGGCGGTGAGCTTTACACCACTCCAGCTGACGCTTGGCATTGCACATGGTGATCTTAGGCTTGTGGAAACCCATTTCATGAAACTCCTGACGAATAGTTCTTGTGCTGATGTTGCTTCCAGAGGCAGTTTGGAACTCGGTAGTGAGTGTTGCAACCGAGGACAGACAATTTTTACACGCAACGCGCTTCAACACTTGGCGGTCCCGTTCTGTGAACTTGTGTGGCCTACAACTTCGCGGCTGAGCCGTTGTTGCTCCTAGACATTTCCACTTCACAATAACAGCACTTAGATTTGACTGGGGCAGCTCTAGCAGGGCAGAAATTCGACGAACTGACTTGTTTGAAAGGTGGCATCCTATGACAGTGTCAAGTCGAAAGTTACTGTGCTCTTCAGTAAGGCCATTCTACTGACAATGTTTGTCTATGGAGATTGCATGGCTGTGTACTCAATTTATACACCTGTCAGCAACAGTTGTTGCTGAAATAGCCGAATCCACTAATTTGAAGGGGTGTCCACATACTTTTGTATACAGTGCATTCGGGAAATGTATTCAAACCCCTTGACATTTTCCACATTTTATTACGTTACAGCCTTATTCTAAAATTGATGAAATTATTTTTTTCCCTTCATCAATCTACACACAATACCCCATAATGAAAAAGCAAAAACAGGTTTTTAGAAATGTTTGCAAATGTATTAAAAATAAAAAAACAGAAAAATCTTATTTACATGAGTATTCAGACCCTTGCTATGAGACTCAAAATTGAGCTCAGGTGCATCCTGATTCCATTGATCATCCTTGAGATGTTTCTACAACTTGATTGGAGTCCACCTGGGGTAAATTCAATTGATTGGACATGATTTGGAAAGGCACACACCTGTCTATATAAGGTCCCACATTTGACAGTGCATGTCAGAGCAAAAACCAAGCCATGATGTCGAAGGAATTGTCCGTAGAGCTCTGAGACAGGATTGTGTCGAGGCACAGATCTGGACAAGTCTCTGAATGTCCATGAGTGGCCCAGCCAGAGCCCGGACTTGAACCCGATCTAACATCTCTGGAGTGACCTGAAAATAGCTGTGCAGCGATGCTCCCCATCCAACCTGACAGAGCTTGAGAGGATCTGCAGAGAAGAATGGGAGAAACTTCCCAAATACAGGTGTGCCAAGCTTGTAGCGTCATACCCAAAAAGACTCAAAGCCTGTAATCGCTGCCAAAGGTCCTTCAACAAAGTACTGAGTAAAGGGTCTGAATACTTATGTAAATGTGATATTTCCGTTTTTATTTTTAATACATTTGCAACAAAAAAAACATCCTGTTGTTGCTTTGTCATTATGGGGTATTGTGTGTAGATTAATAAGGGGGAAAACTATTTAATCCATTTTAGAATAAGGCTGTAACGTAACAGAATGTGGAAAAAGTGAAGGGGTCTGAATACTTTCCGGATGTACTGTATATAGTGTACATACAAGGAGGAAGGCCCTCAAAATTGTCAAAGACTCCAGCCACCCTAGTCATAGACTGTTCTCTCTGCTACCGCACGGCAACCGGTACCGTGAACAGCTAATCATGACTCCTGAACAGCTAATCATGGCTACCCGGACAATTTGCACTGCCCTCCACCCCACTCCATCCCCTTCTTTTACGCTGCTGCTACTCTGCTTATTATTTATGCATAGTCACTTTAACTCTACCCACATTTACATATTACCTCAATTACCTCGACTAGCCGGTGCCCCCACACATTGACTCTGCACCGGTACCCCCCTGTATATAGCCTCCCTACTGTTATTTTACTTTTTTTATTTGTTTTACTTTGCATTGTTGGTTAAGTAACCATTTCACTGTAATGTCTACACCTGTTGTATTCGGCTCATGTGGCAAATACAGTGGGGGAAAAAAGTATTTAGTCAGCCACCAATTGTGCAAGTTCTCCCACTCAAAAATATGAGAGAGGCCTGTAATTTTCATCATAGGTACACGTCAACTATGACAGACAAATTGAGAAAAAAAATCCTGAAAATCACATTGTAGGATTTTTAATGAATTTATTTGCAAATTATGGTGGAAAATAAGTATTTGGTCACCTACAAACAAGCAAGATTTCTGGCTCTCACAGACCTGTAACTTCTTCTTTAAGAGGCTCCTCTGTCCTCCACTCGTTCCCTGTATTAATGGCACCTGTTTGAACTTGTTATCAGTATAAAAGACACCTGTCCACAACCTCAAACAGTCACACTCCAAACTCCACTATGGCCAAGACCAAAGAGCTGTCAAAGGACACCAGAAACAAAATTGTAGACCTGCACCAGGCTGGGAAGACTGAATCTGCAATAGGTAAGCAGCTTGGTTTGAAGAAATCAACTGTGGGAGCAATTATTAGGAAATGGAAGACATACAAGACCACTGATAATCTCCCTCGATCTGGGGCTCCACGCAAGATCTCACCCCGTGGGGTCAAAATGATCACAAGAACGGTGAGCAAAAATCCCAGAACCACACGGGGGGACCTAGTGAATGGCCTGCAGAGAGCTGGGACCAAAGTAACAAAGCATACCATCAGTAACACACTACGCCGCCAGGGACTCAAATCCTGCAGTGCGAGACGTGTCCCCCTGCTTAAGCCAGTACATGTCCAGGCCCGTCTGAAGTTTGCTAGAGTGCATTTGGATGATCCAGAAGAGGATTGGGAGAATGTCATATGGTCAGATGAAACCAAAATAGAACTTTTTGGTAAAAACTCAACTCGTCGTGTTTGGAGGACAAAGAATGCTGAGTTGCATCCAAAGAACACCATACCTACTGTGAAGCATGGGGGTGGAAACATCATGCTTTGGGGCTGTTTTTCTGCAAAGGGACCAGGACGACTGATCCGTGTAAAGGAAAGAATGAATGGGGCCATGTATCGTGAGATTTTGAGTGAAAACCTCCTTCCATCAGCAAGGGCATTGAAGATGAAACATGGCTGGGTCTTTCAGCATGACAATGATCCCAAACACACCGCCCGGGCAACGAAGGAGTGGCTTCGTAAGAAGCATTTCAAGGTCCTGGAGTGGCCTAGCCAGTCTCCAGATCTCAACCCCATAGAAAATCTTTGGAGGGAGTTGAAAGTCTGTGTTGCCCAGCGACAGCCCCAAAACATCACTGCTCTAGAGAAGATCTGCATGGAGGAATGGGCCAAAATACCAGCAACAGTGTATGAAAACCTTGTGAAGACTTACAGAAAACGTTTGACCTGTGTCATTGCCAACAAAGGGTATATAACAAAGTATTGAGAAACTTTTGTTATTGACCAAATACTTATTTTCCACCATACTTTGCAAATAAATTCATTAAAAATCCTACAATGTGATTTTCTGGATTTTTTTTCCTCATTTTGTCTGTCATAGTTGACATGTACCTATGATGAAAATTACAGGCCTCTCTCATCTTTTTAAGTGGGAGAACTTGCACAATTGGTGGCTG